AGTAGATTCACGCAGATACCAACATCTTTTTTGATCTGTTGATTATCGGTTTCGACATATCTCTAGAAAGGAAAAGGAATGCGAATCAAGCCCTCTCTGATGCTTCAATAGAATTTTCCACACTATAGCTAAGATTGTCTGTTTGTGAGCTTACTTCACATTGATGGTCCTAAATGCATTCATTTCTTTCGAATTTCATAGGTTTCTATAACACTTTCAATTTCATTATGCATTTGGATAATGACACTATTGCAATTTTGTTTTATTGTGCACTTGTATGCACTTTCCCTCAGTCGTGAAGCGTTTGTGCTGTATATTCGAACAAATTTAAATCATATTCAAGTTTTACAAACAGGCCACGCTATTATCTGCACGTGTGATTGATTAACGCAACCACAGACATCACGGTTGGGGGAATGGGTGTCTTTCTTTTGCCTTACTGGAAAAATGCAATATCTGGAAGTATGCGTAAGCCGAAGCGAATATGAAAACGGGGTCACGTGTGTGCGTATGCATGACCAGCCGATTCGAGGATGCAACAGTCATTTATATCGACGTGTGTATATTGACTTCATCAGTCCCATTAGTTTTATCGGATTCACTGAATTGTGACATGTCTGAGCTGATAAATATGACATTGGACTTTCTAGGCAGGTGTTTCATTTGGTAAATTGTTCATCGCTTATAGGGTTCATTTGGACAACTTTTGGTGATTTCCAGTACGCAGTACCCAATACTTCAGACCATGAATCAACCTTTGAGATTGTATATTCGTTTCTCCCTCTGCGGTATCACGCAAAACATAGAGCTTGTGTGTAAACCATTTATAAAGTACAACTAGCAAAGGGTTAGTAAATGATGAGAGACAAATACAACTTTCATTTATATTACAGTTTGACAAGTATTTATAAATTTGTCTAAACAGTCCCACAGAGCACATTTTCAAATAGAACAAGGAGTGGCGAACAAGCTCGTTTTCAGTGATTCGTAGTCATGCCAAATACATCACAATAAATATTACGCTGTTTATATATAAATCGGTATTCAACCATAAAAAACGTAAACAAATGTTTCGGGAAAGGGAAAATAACCTCATGGGTTATCTGGGGCTAAGTTCATCTTGGGACCGGATATGG